ATTCAATTCTCTATGTCCCCTGTTCACATCACAACAGTATTATCACATGCAGATTTTTTTCTGCGCAGGAATCTGCAATGTGTATAAAACTGATTGGAGCACACATGAAAAAACTGATGTAAACTGATGTCTCTTCAAGTGAAATCTACACGTCAGTTTTTCTGCATGTATGGTGTGAACAAGGCCTTAACAATCCCAGCATTCCTAGAATGTGACTTTTTTTTTTTTTTTTTTTAAACCATTCAATCGATGGGATTAGTTTCAGTTTATAATTTACTGCTGTTCAGGGCTCTGGGTTTCAGCAAAATGGCAGCCTCCAGCAAGAAGACACGGGAGCAATGCTGGAGGCAATTTACGGCACACACTAATTTTGGTAGCATAATTGTTAATGTGGAATGTACATTCCTTGCTAAAGAACTTTATTTTTGATCAAGTTGTTATGGTGAAGTTCCATTTTAAATCTACTAACCCCACTTTTCTGATATTTTCTTTATGGAGATTGGAAGCACCCTGTTAGTTGTCCCCCCTTCCCCCACAGCCAACACTTGTTAGAATTTTGTTGAAAATGCTCCATTTCCACTGTGGGTCTGGTCATGTCCTAACAACACAGGGTTGCACCTGTCGTTAAGGACACCCACCGATAATTTGTAGAAAGCCCTTTCCACAGCTCTGTTCTCACTAATGGGTGCTACTCTATACCTGATCCTGGCTGTGACTTTACTATATTAAACCATGTCTAACTGGTTTAAAATTCTTAATAGATCTAGCCCCTGCTGAAGTTGCCCACTTATGAATGTAGCATATGACTGTAGCATTAAATTTTAGCCGTGACAGTTTGCTGGAAACCTCCCATCTCATCTCTCATATGTGCCTCACCTCAGTGCGTAAGCATAGGGCATTTTGACTATAATGCCAGACTGCAAAACCTTTGCACTAAAAAGCGTTTGATCCACATTGCCTTCGAGAGACAGCATTTCTGTATTTCTGAGGAACAACTCTTGTTAATGTTATGAATGGCAAGACCACCCATCTTCCTCAACACAAGAAAGCCTATGGAGCAGACTGGTAAGTCACTTCCTTTTTTGGCTGTCAAGAAGCATACCCTTTGTTTCTCCATTCCTTTAATGTTGAGACCCCTTAAACTTGTCTCCTAATCAACCCCAAAGTCTTATATTCCAAGTTTGCCAAATTCCCAGGTAAGCCTTCTCAGCATCAAGGTGAAACCCTATTTTCCTGAGTGGGGGACATCTGTAAATCTTTGTGAATTGTCCAGCTTGTCCCTTCTTCTTTTTCTTGCTTTCAACCCAAAGTCTCTGCACAGACTAACAGGTATTCATCGATCCCTCTTGGTGTTCTGGATCAAGGTGTCATTGCCTTGTAGCAGAATGGTTCCAGGGTTAACTTGAATCCGTTTGCTGTTTCAAAACAAAAAAAAGGGCATTCGCACATCGTGGATCTCAAGGCTTTGGATTCTTGCATTGGAGTTGAGAAATTTCTGGATACCAACCATTTGATCTGTCATTGCCTCCCTCCATTGGGGATACTTCCTTGATTCTGTGAACATCAAAGGAGCTTACTTGCATGTGCTCACCTTTCTCCACCTTTCTAGCTCATCAGCAATATCTACATTTTGCCATGGGACTCATACCATTTTGTGGCCTTGTCCATCGGCCTTTCCTCCACATTTCATCTTTTAATCAGTGTGCTGGCTCCAGTTCTAGCAGTGTTGCATTCTCATTGCTTCCCCATTGAGGAATATTTATACAACCTCCTGTTGATGGAACAGTGTGTGAGGGCTCTGTTGGACAATGGCTCACTAACTTGCCAGACGTTAAAAACGTTCAGGTGGATCCTGTACCTTCAGAAATCGTCGCTGGATCAGACTCATCGCTTGGAGTATCTTGGTCTGGTCTTGGACACATCTCAGGCCAGTGTCATCCTTCTCTAGGAGAAATTTTCAGTTCTTAAGTACCTGGTTCAAGCTCTTCAGTCCAGATACCATCTACCGCTCCACTTCTGCATGAGTCTTGGAGTTGATGATGCCTCCTTTGTGGCAGTCCCCTTTTTTCCCAATTTCCCCAGACATTAGGGCTAAGTCAGCCATGTCTCTTTACTAACCAATTTGGTTTACCACAAAGGTCAGGCTATCCCTGGCTTGGTGACTTTGGAATCTGGCTCTGGATTTAGGGAAATCCTTTCTTTCCAGCTTTTGAAAGACTTTTCATGATGGACGCCAGTCTGTTGGGCTGGGAAGAGTCCTGGACATATTATCAGTATTGGGACATGGTTGCTGAAGGATTATTGTCTCCTGATTAAACATCATGGAGCTTCATGCTATTTGGCTGTTTCTTCAGCCCTTTTGGAGGGTCCGGATTCAGTCGGAAAATGCCAAAACACCAGTATACACCAACCATCAGGGAGGAACCAGAGGTCTCTCTGTACCAAGCGAGGTAGACCGGATTCTGTCCTTGGCAGAACTTCACCTTTCAGCCATGTCAGCTGTGTACATTTTATAAGTGAACAGTTACAGTCAGGTCCATAAAAATTGGGACATCAACACAATTCTAACATTTTTGGCTCTATACACCACCACAATGGATTTGAATTGAAACGAACAAGATGTGCTTTAACTGCAGACTGGCAGCTTTAATTTGAGGGTATTTACATCCAAATCAGGTGAACAGTGTAGGAATTACAACAGTTTGCATATGTGCCTCCAACTTGTTAAGGGACCAAAAGTAATGGGACAGAATAATAATCCTAAATCAAACTTTCACTTTTTAATACTTGGTTGCAAACCCTTTGCAGTCAATTACAGCCTGAAGTCTGGAACGCATAGACATCACCAGACGCTGGGTTTCATCCCTGGTGATGCTCTGCCAGGCCTCTACTGCAACTGTCTTCAGTTCCTGCTTGTTCTTGGGGCATTTTCCCTTCAGTTTTGTCTTTAGCAAGTGAAATGCATGCTCAATCGAATTCAGGTCAGGTGATTAACTTGGCCATTGCATAACATTCCACTTCTTTCCCTTAAAAAAAACTCTTTGGTTGCTTTTGCAGTATGCTTTGGGTCATTGTCCATCTGCACTGTGAAGCGGCGTCCAATGAGTTCTGAAGCATTTGGCTGATATGAGCAGATAATATTGCCCGAAACACTTCAGAATTCATCCTGCTGCTTTTGTCAGCAGTCACATCATCAATAAATACAAGAGAACCAGTTCCATTGGCAACCATACATGCCCACGCCATGACACTACCACCACCATGCTTCACTGATGAGGTGGTATGCTTAGGATCATGAGCAGTTCCTTTCCTTCTCCATACTCTTCTCTTCCCATCACTCTGGTACAAGTTGATCTTGGTCTCATCTGTCCATAGGATGTTGTTCCAGAACTGTGAAGGCTTTTTTAGATGTTGTTTGGCAAACTCTAATCTGGCCTTCCTGTTTTTGAGGCTCACCAATGGTTTACATCTTGTGGTGAACCCTCTGTATTCACTCTAGTGAAGTCTTCTCTTGATTGTTGACTGACACACATACACCTACCTCCTGGAGAGTGTTCTTGATCTGGCCAAACTGTTGTGAAGGGTGTTTTCTTCACCAGGGAAAGAATTCATCGGTCATCCACCACAGTTGTTTTCTGTGGTCTTCCGGGTCTTTTGGTGTTGCTGAGCTCACCGGTGCATTCCTTCTTTTTAAGAATGTTCCAAACAGTTGTTTTGGCCACGCCTAATGTTTTTGCTATCTCTCTGATGGGTTTGGTTTTGTTTTTTTCAGCCTAATGATGGCTTGCTTCACTGATAGTGACAGCTCTTTGGATCTCATCTTTAGCGTTGACAGCAACAGATTCCAAATGCAAATAGCACACTTGAAATGAACTCTGGACCTTTTATCGTCTCATTGTAATTGGGATAATGAGGGAATAACACACACCTGGCCATGGAACAGCTGAGAAGCCAATTGTCCCATTACTTTTGGTCCCTTAACAAGTGGGAGGCACATATGCAAACTGTTGTAATTCCTACACCGTTCACCTGATTTGGGTGTACATACCCTCAAATTAACGCTGCCAGTCTGCAGTTAAAGCACATCTTGTTAGTTTCATTTCAAATCCATTGTGGTGGTGTATATAGCCAAAAATGTTAGAATTGTGTTGATGTCCCAATATTTATGGACCTGACTGTAACAGGATGTAGACCTCCTTGTCTTCCAGATTTAACAGCAAACTTTTCAGGTTTGTATCCAGATACAGAGATCCCTTGGTGAAAGCAAAGGATGCTTGTATGGGATCAGTACACCTTGATCTATACATTTCCTGACTTGGAATTTCTTCTCGTCCGCTCTGCAGACTTTAGATGGAGACATTTGGGTGATCCTTATGAATTAAAACTGGCCCAGGAAAACATGGTATGCCAGCCTGGTAAGAGTTATGGCAGACGTTTTGTGGCAACTACCAGATATTCTGTCCAATTGGCTGATCTGCCGTTCTGCTTCTTGGTTTCTGGGTTTAAGGGCATGTTGAAGGCCAGATTCTAAGGGATAGGAGAATCTGAGTCTGTGATTTCTGTAATGGTTAAAGTGAGAAAGTGTGCTTCCTCTCCACTCCTCCTTTTCCTTCCCTCCCATCCCTGTCTTTGTTATTGTGAGGCATGGTTTTGTAATCTTAAGAGAGAGTTTAGAACAATATAATTTATCAATGCAGGCAGGCAAAGAGCTTAGGAAGTTATCGGCTCACTAAATTTCTGTCAGGATCAACAGGTAATTTTTTCAAACCTTTTAAATGGCTGTAACAAAACACTTTGAATTGTATATTTAATATACCAAATGGAGCAACTAGGAGAAATTCATTATTGGGGGTTATATACCCTTACAAAGGTGCTAATGCTATCATTTGACTTTTGTGGCAAGTGTGTCTCTGTGTCATTTTTCTTTCAACTTTGTTGAGGCATTCTTGCCATGAGCTACAGAATTAATTACATATATATTTTCCCCTTGTATTTTACAGGAATCCCTGTGGATCCACGGAAAGTACTCATTGTAGCAGGCCATCACAACTGGATTGTTGCTGCCTATGCTCATTTTTGTGTGGTTTGCTACAGGTATGAATTATTCATCAGTCTGGATCTTCTTCGTGTATTTAATATTTTTCCTAAGGTCCTGATTGTTTTTCCCAGAATGCTTTTTGCTCTGGTCCACACAAGCCATTTCTCTTCTGAAATTAGGTTCTAGGCTGTGATCACCATGAACATAAAATAAGATCAGGATCATCTGTTCAACAACTTTTATATTAAGGTTGTAAAGAAAGCAGTACTTTAAAATCTATCAGTAGGTAGAGATGTGTGTGTCTTTCCCCATTAATAATGTCATTGCCTACAGATGAGGAACTAAGACGTGGAGAGATTCAACACAGGAGGATCTGAGAATTCATCCTAAATTTTACTAACTAAAACCTGTCAGCAGAGAAACATAGAGGCTGTCATTTGCAACCTCTCCTAGTAAAAAAAAAAAAAAAAAAAAAATTTGCGTGGCTCAATCCTGTTGCTTCAACTTTGATGCATTAACCAGGAACAAGTGTAAATTTTAAAGTATACCTTTTAGTCTGCATGAATAAATTCCTGACCTTTCACAATATAGAGCAGCATTATTTAAAATAAAAAAAAAAACAAATTTTCTCCTATGTTCATTGGTTGGCATAGCCTTTTCTTCTTCTTATCCGTTACTAAAAAGGGTTTTATAGCCCCACATACAGGAGTAGGACACTAGAGCGAAAAAAAACTCGGTACCTCCTACTCTGCTATAGGCCTCCAGTCATTCTTTCTAGTGTTCAGGAGTATGGATGTGATCTTATGCTGGGACTTTTGGTCACATAGGTTTTTTTCTTATATTTTTACCTGGGTATTTTTCTGTTCCTTCAGAGATTTTCTATCAACAGTCAGGATGGACAACGTGCTGGATAAGCTAGATTGTGGTCACCCCAGTCTGACCAGTGCGCAGACTGTTAGCTCCACGCTCGATCAGCTGCGATGATGCCCCATCCTGGACCGGGGCGGCCAGCAGGTTAAGCATCTCATGGGGACACATATGAATGGGCGCCCTCGGTCCGTTTCTCATGTTACCCTTAGCCGACAGGCCCCCCACTTCGGTGGAGAGGAGAATCTGTCATGGGAGCCTTACTCGCGTGCTCCAGCTGGATTGGTAAGTAGATGGGCCCTCCCTTCTATTTCTGGACGTGGTGTGGGCCGCAGGTTCTCTCTGGGATTGTCTGTCCCTATGGGGTGTCCCCCTGCTTTCCTTCACTGGCTGTGACGGCGTGGCTTTTGCAAGCCAGGTTCTGAATGACTAGGGGTTGTCTGGCTTTGTGTTCCGTTGAAGGCACATAAGTCTTGCACCTGGAGAGCTGGTGGTGTTTAGTGCACAGTATTGGGGTTCCATCCTCACTCTTTTTCGGTCGCGCTGATGTTGCCTTTCCTCCACCGCAGTGAGGATCAGAAACTTGCCTTGTGCACGATCAAGGGTCATGGTTCTTGGCCCTGCTCTGGCTGTTTTCTTTCAGAGTCCCTTGGCCACTCATCTTGAGCTTGCACCTTCCGTGGATCCTTCCAATTTTCTTTGCACAGAACTGTACTAGAACACAGCAAAATGCATTACAGTGCACCAGAATGGACTGTGGTGTGAACTGTAAACAAAAACGATCAAGAATGCATTTTTGTGGTGTGAATTGGTCTCTAGGACTCGTTCACATTAGAATGCGATGTGGGAGAGCCATGGTCCCGTGCGGCTTCCGCACCGCATTCCGATCACAATGCCTTGCGATCTGCTGCAGGGATCAGTTAAAAGTTAACACCCCAAACGCAGGTGCAAATGCATTGCATTTGCCCACATTGGCCCACTTCAAATCGCATGGTAGAAAGTACCATGTGATGTGGTTGCCGTGCGTTTCAAAAAGTAGTGCTTGCACTACTTTTGGTTTGGTGCGATTTCAGCCCATTCAAATGAATGGGGTTTAAATCGTACTGCACGGAGCTGCAGATGAATCGCACAGGAAAGCAGAGCACGTTCCTGTGTAATTCAGCTTAGGGCCTATTGTTGTTAACTGGCCCTTAATATCTACTCTATCAGTTTCTGTGAGGGAATTATTTGACTCCAAACTCTAGTTGGTAGTACCATAAGTGCCGGAGGTCAAATATTTCTGAAGATCCTGCTGTTCTATAATCTGACGTAATATGAGGTCCAAAGCAGCAGTGTTTTGGAAAGGCAAGTATATTGCCTCTTCTTTTATAGGGTTTTTAATAGCACCTCCAGTGGCTCCCTTAGAACAAGATTGCGTTCAGAAGTCAGAGAAATGAGTAGGCTAATTAAACTTTTGGATACATTGCCCAGTTTTAGTGTTTTCTGTTTGTAGTGTTGCTTCATGTTTTTTGGGGTTTTTTTTTACTAAAGACCATTAGTAGGATACTATATTCATCCCAACCCTTTGAATTATAAACTAAAACAAGTAATTTGATCACATTAGAACTTGTTAAAGACGACTGGTCGCGGCTTTCCCTCATTTCTAACTGTGATAGAGTGAACACAGCTAGGGGTGTATTGAAATTTGTCAAAAATCTTGCTCTAACGCTTTTCAAATGGATTGCCTGTCTGTCCGCACCCGCAGTTTCAAATTGTTTCAGTCACAGTCAGGCACACTTGTGGTGACTCAAAGAAAAATAGAAAGCTTGGCACCTGACAGAACTTTTATTAATGGCAGGAAGAGCGTAGAGTCTAATGCTGCTTCTCCATCTTTCTCTCCCTCCTCATATTCTGGACAAAAGTGGAGAAATTGAGACACGTTTGATTTGTGGCTACAGAGCAACAACATGGAAGTTGTGAATGATGTTGTATTAAAAAACAAAGTACAAAACACCGGAACAAAAGAAAACAAAATCATCAGCAGCGTTATTGAGTAGTGAAGGTTTTCTTTTGCAGTTAAGAGTTTGTTTTTTAAAGTTTAAAGTACACCTGTTAGAATGACAGCCATGCTAAAATGATTAAATGACCACAGTGAACATCCTGCACATATCTTCAATCACATTCATATGTGATTCAGAAGCCCTGGGGTGTGTGGTTCTCAGTTGGTGAAATTGCTTGCTGGTCTGATGCCTGCCACACTTCTCTATTGGCCAGTGTGGAAACCCCTAATGGGCCAATAGGAAAGTATACTAGGGCGAAGGACACCTTTTAACATCACTGTAAGGCAGGCCATAAATGATGCAATTTTCTTTCCATGACCATAGGTTGCTGGAAAGGAAAATCTGTCTATTTCCCCGTCAACACAATCAGATGGGGGAACCCCTCCCACTGAGCTATGCTGTTCTCCTGGTGGGAGAGCGCAGGGAGCCATCCCTCCCAGGTGAAGAAAGTGATTACTGCTAGCAGCTATAGTCGCTGGCAATAGTCGCTTGGTAAAAATCTGACATGCTGGTTGTACCCAAGTCGATTGATGGATCAACTTGGGAACAATCAGCCTGCCCATAGATGGACTGAATCTCGGTTGGTCCCTGCTGAACTGACCGAGATTCAATCCATCTATGGCTGGCTTAAGTGCCAGAATTTGCATACTAGATTATATCTGGTTCTTAAATTATTCATTGCAGTGTCTGAAGGTATGTGCAGACGCCTCTAGGTCCCTGTTGTCTAAGATGTGGCACTTTTGGCACTTATAGTTAAGGTTGCACCTATACCGATATCAACGATACTAAGCATTTGCACGAGCGTTCGTATGCATGCAAGTGCTCCGATACCTGAAACCGATATCTTTGCGGTGCGATTTGAGCCCATACAAAATGAATGGGCTCAAATCGCACTGCAAAAACTCACAAGCAATTTGAACAGGAATATGCTGTGCTCCACGGATAGTTCTACCTTCCGGTGATCTGGACGGTAGTGGCCGGCCTCTCTCTTCCTGAATCATGGCTTGTGTCAGCCTTCCTGCTTTTGGACCCTGGGTGGTTTTGCTCAGCTGATGTCTGCCAGTTTTATGAGCCTTACATCTTTGTACCAAATGTGAGTGGTCCCCTTTTTAGTGTGCTAATAAATTGTTTTTTGAGATACTACACTTAGAGGCGCTTCTCCTGCTTTTATTTTCCCGCAGGGAAACCGCATGTGAGTCAGGCAGGAATTACACTGCATCCCTGTTCAAATCGCATGCGATTGTTTGCAGTGCAGTTTGAGCCCATTCGTGTTGTGTGGACTGAAATTGCGCCGCAAAAGTATCGGTACTCTGTATCAGCAAGTACTTGACCGAAAGTATCGGTACTTGTACTACTTGCCGGTAAACCCTACTTATTGTGTGGCCCTCAGATTCCCTGGCAACCAACAGTCTGTTTCTCTTGCTTAGACCAGGCCAGTGCAGGAAAAATATTGTTTAGACTGGGTTTTACTAGGTAAATGGTTCAAGTTCTAGGACTAAATAGTGTGACCATTTTTCCTTACGTTTAATTCACAAGGATTGCTAAACAGGCATTTCATCCATGTTTTACCACCTAAAATCTAACATGGCAGCCAGCGGGGTTTGTACACGACAGAATGCTTTGCTGTACATCTGCAGCAGTTAACTCCGCATGCCACTTTTGATAGTCAGTGCCACCTGTCAGATTGCCCATTGAAATCAATGAGACAGTATCACAACTGCTAGCCAGATTCTCAGCTCGCAGTGACTAAGTGGTATATCCTTGCAAAATGCCTGTTCCACTGCAAAACTAAAACTGCCAAAAAACATGCATTTGGGAAGTGGCAGTATTGCCTCTTGAATGCTTAAAAACCTCTCTCTGAGCCAATACTGAAAAAATGATCCACATTGGATCGCTTTTCAGCGGGTGGTTGATGCGGTTCCTTGTGTGAAAGGGGCCTAAAGGTGGTTATTCTAAATAAAAAAAAAAAATGCAGGTCAGAGTGTTTTTTGTGCAGGCACAATGTAGTTTGAGCTACAGCGGGTATAGAAAAAATAAATCCCCCACTTTAAAATAAGTACATTTTGTTGCTTTGTAGCCTGAAATGCATTGGGAATACTGCACATTCTATTCCAAATCAAGATATGAAGAAAAAAAAGGAATATTAGGCTGTCCAAAAAGATAGCAGTGTCTGCATTTTTCTTTATAAACTCAAACATTTACTGTATAAACTGAAAAGTGCTTTAAGATTTGGCTTTCCTGTGAATCACTGAACTAATTTTTAGTTGTATAAGCACTGTTTCTGAGAACTGTTTCATATCTGTGCATGGAGTCGACCAACTTCTGACACCTATGAACAGGTATTCCAGCCCAGGATGATTGCACTACATTCTACAATTCCCCTGCATTTGTTTTTCCTCAGAAACCGCATTTTTGATGTCAACCCACAGGTTTTCTATTGCATTAAGGTCCAGGGATTGGACTGGCCACTCCATAGTGTTAGTCTTGTTGGTCTGGAAACAAGATGCTGCTCGCTTACTTGTGTTTTCTGGGGTCATTGTTTTGTTGAAATACCCATTTCAAGGACATGTCATCTTTGGCATAAGGCAACATAACCTCTTCAAGTATTTTTATGTATTCAAACTGATCCATGATCCCTGGTATGCGATAAATAGGCCCAACACCGTAGTATGAGAAACATCCCCATATCATGATGCTTGCACAACCATCTTCACTGTCTTCACAGTGTACTGTGGCTTGAATTCAGTGTTTGGGGGTCGTCTGACAAACTGTCTCCGGCCACTAGACCCAAAAAGAACAATCTTACTTTCATCAGTCCACAAAATGTTGCGCCATTTCTCTTTAGGGCCAGTCAATGTGCTCTTTGGCAAATTGTAACCTCTTCAGCACATGTCTATTTTTCAACAGTGGGACTTTGCGGGGCTTCTTGCAGATAGCTTGGCTTCACATAGGCGTCTTCTAATTGTAACAGTACTCACAGGGAACTTTACACCTTCTTTGATCTTCCTGGAGCTGATTGTTGGCTGAGTCCTTGCCATTTTGGCTATTCTACAATCCATTCAAATGGTAGTTTTCCGTTTTTCTTCCACGTCTTTCTGGTTTTGGTTGCCATTTTAAAGCATATGAGATAATTCTAGCTGAGCAGCCTATCAGTTTCTGCACTTCTCTATATGTTTTCCCCTCTCCAATCAACCTTTTAATCACAGTACACTGTTCTTCTGAGCAATGTCTGCAAAGACCTGTTTGACACTTGTTTTCTCACAGACTGAATGACCTCACTAATTGAACTCCACACTGCTATTATTTTGAACATGCCCCTTTCAATTAATGATTCAATTACACAGAATCCGTTGCATGCATGGCATGACTGTTGGGTCTGTTAGCTTTCTATTACTTTACTACACCTACTAGTAAATTATTTGCCATGTAGAAATATAATTTATACCAAAAACCGTGATCTGGTTAGTAATGCTGAACTGCTATTATTTTGAACACAACTTTAACATCAACATGTTAGAAAAAAAATAACATTCAAAAATAGAATCACTGAGTTGGAAAAAGGATCACCCCATCCTAAACATGCCTTGTAAACTCAGTCAGATGTAGCTATTCACCTTCTCAATTGCACACAAGCCATTTGACTTTCAACTTTGATCATTTTGACTAGCTCAGCATGCAGAGCTTTCCTGGAGTATTTCAGTCCCGGTAGTGCAACTGAAGCAAACAGTCATCTATGGGTGGCAAGGCACTGTAAAAAGATCTCTGGAATAAATTTGTGGACAGGCACAGGTCAGGAGATGGCTAAAAAAAAAAATCAAAGGCTTTATCAATGCCTAGAAGCACAGTGAATTATATTTATTAAGAAATGGAAGGTATTTGGTACAACACAGACCCTCTCTGGATCAGGACATTGCTCCAAACTGAATGAAAGAGCCTGGAGGAAACTTGTCAAAGAGGCTACCAAGAGGCCTACAGCAACTCTTAAGTAGTTGCAGGAATTTATGACAAATAGTGGTCATTGTGTGCATGTGACAATATCACAAATTCTCAACAAATGTGGCTTGTATGGGAGGATTGCAGGAAAAAAGCCACTTCTCAAGAAAGGCCACATGCAGTCACCACTGAGCTTTGCTAAAATGCATATTGAAAATTTGGAGGCCACATGGAAAAAGGTGTTATGGTCAGAGGAGACTAAAATTGAATGATTTGGCCTCAACACTAAACAATATGTTTGGGAGAAATCCAATACATCTCACAATCCAAATAACACCATCCCTACAGTAAGGCATGAAAGTGGGAATATCCTGTTATGGGAGGTTTCCCTGCAGCAGGGACTGGGGCACTTGTCACGATAGAAGGAAAAATAAATGGGGCAAATGCCGTCAAATTCTCTAGGAAAATCTGCTGCCCTCTACCAGAAAGTTGTCAATGGGAAGACGGTTTACCTTCTAATATGACAATGTCCAACTCCCAACACAGCAAAAATGACCACACAGTGGTTGAAGGAGAAAAAAGGTGAATGTCCTTGTGTGGCCTAGTCATGTTCCAGACTTAAACCCCATTGAAAATCTGTGGATTGACCTGAAGACTGCATTCCACAAATGGTCACCATCAACTTGAACTGAACTTGAGCAGTTTTGCAAAGAAAAGTGAGCAAATATTGCAAAGTCTGGATGTGCAAAGTTAATGGCGACATATCCCAACAGACTTGAGGCTGGGGTGATCCTTTTTCTCAACTCAGTGATTCTGGTTTTGATTTTTTTTTGATTTTTTATGACATGTTGCTGTTATGTCTTTCACTTGGATGTTCTAAATTGCAATTGAGTAAATACAGCTGGATAAAACAAATACTGTGTCTGTCTTCCGTCTTCATTTCAGGCTGCAAAGCAACAAAATGTGATTATTTTAAGGGTGGGGGGGGATTTTTTTTTATACCCAATGTATATAGAGCACTTTTGATGCGGATAGTACTGGTGATTGTATGTAAACAATGCTAAATGTGGTTAAGTAAATTTGGGCCATATAGAGAGCTAGAGCTGGCATTGGTAGTTGGTTATAAAGAGAGCCCTAGATGTGGTATGGATATTTGGGAGCCATATAGAGATTGCTACATGTCTTTACTGCTAATTTGAGCCATATAGAGAGCGCTGTATGCTTCTACTGGAAGTTGGAGTCATAGAGAGTGCTAGATAGATGTTGGTACTAGTTGGCGTCTTCTAGAGAGCAATAGTTGCTGTTACTGGCACTTGAAGCATCCAGAGAGCCTAACTGCTGGCACTCTTTTTAAGTCATATAGACCGCACTAGATGCTCTCTTTGAGTTGTACTATAATGGGAGTGCTTTCTACAGAACTAGTATATAGTTTAGCTGCTTACTGTTCTTGATAATGAGCCTTTCATATTCCATTTGTGCTTTTTCATAGGATAAAGGAATCCTCTGGCTGGCAGCAAGTCTTCTCAAGCCCATATCTAGACTGGACCATTGAAAGGGTGGCCCTTAATGCAAAGGTAGTCGGAGGGCCCCATGGAGATAAAGACAAGATGGTGGCGGTTGCATCAGAAAGCAGCATAATTCTTTGGAGCATACAGGATGGAAGCAGTGGCAGTGAAATAGGTGAACTTCGCTCTTTCTTTATGAGAACTGTAGAAATCTTCTGTGCCCTTTCAAATAACCACTTGATGCCATATCATGTACATGTGCATTATTTGGCATTAAGTGGTTGTACTGGGTTGATGCCTGCAGGCATCATCCCGATATTGTTTTTTTTAGGCTGGTGGCCAGCTTTTATGTATAAAGAAATTTATGTGTAAAGAAATAATGTAAAATTTAAAAAAAAAAAAACATTTTTAAAGCACCCCTCCACACACCCCTCCACACGCTCGCACACAAAGATGAACGCACACGTTGGGCCTGCACAAACACGCAAACACTAAAGGCGAGTGCAATCATTCTACCACCAGACCTTCTCTGTAACTCTTAGCTGGTAACCTGTAAAGATTTTTTAAGCGTCGCCTATGGCGATGTAGTTTGTCACCATTCCACGAGCGTACTTGTTTTTAAAGCGTGATATGTTGGGTAGCTTTTTACTCGGCGTAACACCATCTCTTATATTGTACCAAAAAATCAGGTGTTACTGTATATTGTGTTTGTGTGCATTAAAATTCATTAAAGTGTATTTTTTCCAAATCATTTGTGTTTGAAAAACTGCTGTGGAAATACTGCGTGACATAAAAAATAACAAAATCCAACAATTTATTCTCTAGGGCCTTTGCTAAAAAAAAAAAAATATAATGTATTAACAGGTACTGTGTAAAAATGAAAAATAAAAAAAATTAAACATTTTAAAGCGCCCTTGTCCTCTCTTGCGAGCACTCATACCTACAGTGAGGAACAGAAGTATTTGAACACCCTGAGATTTTGCAAGTTCTCCCACTTTGAAATCATGGAGGGGTCTGAAATTCACATTGTAGGTGCATTCCCACTCTGAGAGACAGAATTAAAAAGAAAAAAAAAAATTCAGGAAATCACATTGTATGTAGGATTTTTAAAGAATTTATTTGTCTTGCACTGCTGAACATAAGTATTTGAACACCTAAGAAACAACAATAATTCTGGCTCTCGAAGACCTGTTACTGTGCCTTTAAAAAGTCTACCTCTACTCCACTCATTAATCTAACTTAGTAGCACCTGTCTGAGCTCTTTAAAGACACCAGTCCACCCCACAGTCAGTCAGATGAAAAACTACTACCATGGGCAAGACCAAATAGCTGTCAAGAGACACCAGAGACAAAATTGTGGACCTCCACAAGGCTGGAAAGGGCTATGGGGCAATTGCCAAGCAGCTTGGTGAAAATAGATCAACTGTTGGAGCAATTGTTAGAAAATGGCAGAGGCTAAAGACGACTGTCAGTCTCCCTCGGACTGGGGCTCCATGCAAGATCTCACCTCGTGGGGTATCACTGATGATAAGAAAGGTGAGGAATCAGCCCAGAACTAAAAGGGAGGAGCTGGTCAATGACCTGAAGAGAGCTGGGACCACAGTTTCAAAGGTCACTGTTGGTAGAACACTATGCCGTCATGGTTTCAAATCATGCATTGCACGGAAGGTTCCCCTGCTCAAGTCATCACATGTCCAGGCCCGTCTGAAGTTTGCCAATGACCATCTGGATGATCCAGAGGAAGCATGGGAGAAAGTCATGTGGTCAGATGAGACCAAAGTAGAACTTTTTGGTCTAAAATTCACTCGTGTTTGGAGGAAAAAGGATGAGTTGCATCCCAAGAACACCATCCCTACTGTGAAGCATGGGGGTGGTAACATCATGCTTTGGGGGTGCTTTTCTGCGAAGGGGACAGGACGACTGCACTGTATTAAGGAGAGGATGAATGGGGCCATTTATGGTGAGATTTTGAGCAACAACCTGCTTCCCTCAGTCAGAGCATTGAAGATGGGTCGTGGCTGGGTCTTCCAACATGACAACGACCCGAAGCACACAGCCAGGTAACCAAGGAGTGGCTCAGTAAGAAGCATATCAAGGTTCTGGAGTGGCCTAGCCAGTCTCCAGACCTAAATCCAATAGAACATCTTTGAAGGGAGCTGAAACTCCGTGTTGCTCAGCGACAGCCCTGAAACCTGACAGATCTAGAGGAGATCTGTGTGGAGGAGTGGGCCAAAATCCCTGTTGCAGTGTGTGCAAACCTGGTCAAGAACTACAGGAAACGTTTGCAAACAAAGGCTTCTGTACCAAATATTAACACTGATTTTCTCAGGTGTTCAAATACTTATGTTCAGCAGTGCAAGACAAATTCTTTAAAAATCATACAGTGTGATTTCCTGAATTTGTTTTTTTTTTTTTTTTTTTTTTTTTTTTTATTCTGTCTCTGAGTGGGATTGCACCTACAATGTGAATTTCAGACCCCTCCATGATTTCTAAGTGGGAGAACTTGCAAAATCGCAGGGTGTTCAAATACTTCTGTCCCTCACTGTAAATAGTGAGTGCAGTGATAACTCACGTGTGGTGTGAACATCAGAACAAGAGCAATAATTCTAGCATCAGACCTCCTGTGTAAAATGGTATAACCCGTAAAAGCTTTTAAAACATTGCCTATGGATCATTTATGTACGTAGTTTGTCGCCGTTCCATGGGCGTGCACAATTTTAAAGTGACATGTTGGGTATCTATTTACTTAGCGCAACGTCATCTTTTATATTGTACCAAAAATTGCATATTATATTGTGTTTGCATTAAAATTCATTAAATTTCCAAAAAATTTGCATCGAGAAACTGTATCACCAATAATGCGCGATATCAAAAATTAGAAAACCCTCCATTTTATTCTCTAGTGTCTCTGCTAAAAGCAAAAACTACAGGCGTATCTCGGTTTACGAAAGCCTCGGTTAACGTAATTTTCAGTTTATTAATGAAAATCCATGGAAAATAATTCCTCAGTTTACAAATTGTTTACAAATTTTTTTTGCAATATGAAGTGTATGTCGGTGTTGATTTTTAAATGCAATTGCCGTGTTTTTTTTTTTTTCTTCACTATAGCTCACAGAATTAGCTGTCACTTTCCCTGGAGCTAGAGGATACTTTGTTTCTTTTATGTCAGGAAGCAAACTAAAAGGAAACATTGTTTCTTTTAACTCAGGGAAATAATCTAAAAGGAAACTTTCTTTCTTTAAGCTGTGGGGAAAGTGACAGCTGATTCTCTGTGCTATAGTGAAAGAAAAAAAAAAAGACGGTAATTACATTTAAAAACCGGCACTGACCTATAGGGGTTTATTTACTAAAGCTGGAGAGTACAAAATCAGGCTTGCTTCTACATAGAAACCAATCAGCTTCTAACCTCAGCTTGTTTAATTAAGCTTTGATAATAAAACCTGGAAGCTGATTGGTTTCTATGTAGAAGTGAGCCTGATTTTGCACTCTCCAGCTTTAGTAAATGAACCTCATAGTGACAGTAACTTTTTAAAAACTTTTTTCTGACCTCCGGAAAGGATTAATTGGTTTTCAATGCATTCCTATGGGAAACCGCGTTTCGGTTTATGAAGTTTTTGCAATACGAAACTTCAAGGAGAACGCATTAAATGCGTAAACCGAGGTACACCTGTATATAATGTATGGGGGTTATAAGAAGATTTCTAGCAAAAAATACTGAATTTTACAGTATTCAAAAGTTACAAAATTGTCAGAGAAAGGCTTGGCCTTCAAGTGGATATGTAGGTGCCATCTTATGAGAACCGTTGGTGCTTAGAGGAGTATTTGTACCTGTAGTTCTTCTCTAAGGACTTGTTCACGCTCACTCTGTATGTGTGGTTGGCAGATATCCGTCACTCCAAGGATACGTTTGAAAACAAATATTTTCTGTATGCCCCATTCACATGAAAACATTGCTCTCCTCCATAGAAAGGGCATCATCTTCATGTTAGCAGTACTGGAAGCTTCCTGCACAAATTTTAGTTTTACTGTCACAACATTTCTCTCTGCTCTCATTATTATATTATTATTCAGTGTTTATATAGTGCCAATAGTTTGCTCAGCACTGTACATTACAATGGGAGACAGTACAGTAACAATACAATGCGATACATGAGGGGTTCGAGCAGCAGGGCGGACTGACCATTAGAGCACTCGTGCACTGCCCGAGGGCCCAGGGTCAGTAGGGGGCCCTATGAGATGCCCCTGGTACCTTTTTAGAGGCTTTTTTGGGTGTGGTTTAAGTGTGGGTGAGGACACAGGGGCCCCATGATCCCCTATTGCCCGGGGGCCCCATGAGTTGTCAGTCCACCCCTGGGTTCGAGGGCCCTGCTCCTTGGAGCTAACAATCTAGGAGGGAGGGGAGAGTGGTATTGTTGCACTCTACCTCCCCCACCACCAGCACCACTACTCACCTTGAACTTTGCAGTGATCCTGGAGATCCTGTCAGTAACGGCGCTTCCTGCTGCAGACTGACAAAACGAAGGTCCCTTTCACACTGCTTTGCAGCAAATCCTCAGTAAAAATGCACATGCAATTTTGCTTTGTTTCAGATTGCATTTCCAGTGCGTTTCTGGTGCATATTTTGTTTGCTTGCACCTGTGAAAAAAGGACACATAATTAAAAAATGCACAAAAAACACAACGCAGTTAGTTTTTGATGCATTTTTGAAGAGTTTCCATTCATTTCAATGGAGAGTTGCATTTTTGGTGCGGTTTTTAAAACTGCAGCATGCAGGACTTTTCAAAATGAACTGCAACCACAGTACAGTGGTGTGAAGAGTCCCATAGGACTTAAAGGTAAATGGTTTTCTTGCAAGGCAAACATGCAGGAAAAATGTCTTTTGTGAAAGGGCCCTCTGGGAATTAGCAGCAGTGTTTCCAGGCAGCCCCACGGACAACTGAATTAGGGCACACCGGCTAACAACAATGCTGCTGTTTGCAAGACCGTGACTTAGTGTTGTCAACCTACCACAGAAAGTGCTGTTACTGGCAGGATCTCCAGGAAGGAAACTTTGTCTTCGAATTACACAAAATGTTTAGCTAAAGAAAACTGTATACGAAGAGGCCTGATGCCAAACATATTGAAAAATAGATTTTGGGTGTACACAGACTTTAAATGATTGCTTGCTGAACAGAC